AATGTTTGAGACTCAATGATGAGAGTCTTCTTACAACTCAGTCAGAATTATAAAATGCAAATTAAAAGTCTAATTTTCATCACGCAAACTCAATATAATGACACTTTTAGGATTTATGATTATATGATTTTATCTGAGAAATTTATTTCTTTCGTTTAAGATTTGCATAAAGAAAAACTTGCTTAGTTTAAATCTTTTAAGTCTAATTGGCAAAACAAATTTTATAACTTTTTACTATTCACTTGCGAGCTTCTGATCAAGTTACTTTCAACTTTTTGATGGTTGATTATGAAAACATCTTTTAATTTGGGAAGGGAAATTTGCTAAATTGACTCAGTTTGAATTAGCGTTTTGTAAATTAATCTTCTACCTATGATTGTTTGTCCCAATAACCTTTCATATTTCTAAATCCCAGTTTTATCTTTCAAAATTAAGAAAAATTAATCTTTTACTAATATATAAAAATGATTTTCGTTTTTACAATTTATTTAAAATATTTACAATAAATTTTTTCTTAAAAATAAGTATACAAATCATTAAAAGAAAAAAACTCTGTTTCGCAAAAGAGAAGTAAATATCCGAAAAAAATATTTCACAAAAAATAATTAAAAACAATTTATAAAAATAAATAAAGAAAAATCGTAATTGGAAGCAAATATCCGAAAAAATCATTTTATGGAAAGTAAATATTTAATCGTCCTAGATTTAAGGGATTTAAACTACTTTTGGTAGTTTAGACTTTCTACCATTTGGTAGAAGATAGAGAAAGAGGTAGATAGAAGGGGTAGAATATGCATTCTGTCTGGCGTAGATGACAAAGACATTGGTAGAAATAGCATTCTGCGACTGGTAGTACTGAAGCAAATGGTAGATTGTGCAATCTGCGATATGTAGAAATTGAGCAATTAGTAGAATACTTCATTCTACCACTCGTAGATTTATTCAAATTCGTAGAACACCTAATCTACTAGTAGATTCGACCATGGTAGAAGCAAAAATAAATAATTTTCTGTCATAGTTTAAAAAAAAAAAATTTTACATGAATCTATACGTCTTGTGTATTACTCTTTTGTATTTTCTTAATTTTATAAAATTATAAAAACCATATATTTGTAATTTTTGGAATTAATCAAAGGGTAATTTAGGAAAAAGTTGGTAAAAATAAGGCAAATGTTATTTCGCAAAACACTAATTCAAACTGAGTTAATTTAGCAAATTTCCCTTTTGGAAAAGACCCAAGTAAAAGATCCAAGTTATTGATTCGTGGTGGCTTTTTTTCTCTTTCAACAATAAGATCTCTTCTACATTATGTCATTTTATTTAACAACTTGATCAATGAGTTGCCCCTTGATTTTTTTTTGTTCTCGTCTAGATATGAGTTTAATGTTCAAATATAAAAAAGATTATTGTTGTCTTTTCTCGGTGGAACGCTAGACCACTTTGAGAATAAATGTTCCTGAATAGCATTATACCAGTTTTTTTAATTGCAAATAATGGTTACTCAAACCAAAGACTTTTAAAATATTTGAGAAATTTTTTAGAATATATGTATTAGATTAATTCCATACTATCAAAAACAAAAACAAAAATTCTAGTGTAAAACATTTTTTTTTTCTCGTGTCAAATTGAATATATATTATACTGAAACAGACCATCACCATAAGCTTAGTATATAAGAGATAGAAATGCTTTTAGTAAGGGCTTAAATCAGAACTTATCTACCTCTTTTTTAAAAAAAATAAGGTAAATAAAAACACGTTGCTT